ATGAGGGAATTTCAGGTGGTAGGGCCTGAAAAGAGTTTACATCTGTCCCTTATTGTGTCTGTACAGCACCCAGCACACTGGAGCTCAGGTGTTGGTTGGAACCTCTAGTTCAGTGGGTCTCAAACTTTTTTACTGGCGACCCCTTTCACATCGCAAGGCTCTGAGTGCGACCCCCCCCTAATAAATTAAACACCCTTTTAAATATATTTAACACCATTATAAATGCTGGAGGCAAGCGGGCTTTGGGGTGGAGGTTGACAGCTTGTGACCCCCTGAGTGGTCCTGACCCCCAGCTTGAGAACCCCTGCTCTAGCTGCTAACTGTAATACAAATAATAATATCAGATTTATTTTCAGTGGCCTAAATCCAACACTAAGCAGAGATGTGTGGGGAAACTTGCATTACTGTTGACTCGTTCAGTCATTCGTCAGCACTAAATTACCTTTAAAAAAAGCTGATTACCACAGATTATCTTGCAATGTGTTTAACGTTTTTGCAGGAACAGGAATAGCCACAATGCTATTATACTCATTCCTTTCCTTATTTTGGTGGCTGTCCTCGTGCAAGGGTTTGTTGGCCAGACTTATAAACGGGAAAGTCGGTTAATCTAAGCCATAGAGAGACCTGTCTTCCCTCATGCTTTTTACAAGCATCTTGGGCTGCACGCTGCATACAGGTAGGGGCGCTGGGACAATTTGTATAGTGGGGGAGCTGAGAGCTATTGAACCAAACTGTAAACCCTGGATATGATGAAAACCACTTCAAACAAGGGGGTGCAGCAGCTCCCCCAGCACTCCTAGTTCCAGCACCTGTGCAGACAGGAATCCAAAACCTGACACGTTCATAGGACCTACAGCCCAGTGAATCTACTGGGATTCCAATTTTTTGCCTCTTTAAGATGTGCACCATTTCCTGCATGAGAAGCACATGCAATACTTTGCTTGTAAGTGCAAAAAGGGTGGTTTGCAGCTAACCTTGGGGATCTGTGCACTTCTTGCAAGGAACTGTAAACTGTGAATTTGAAGCAAATCAAAGACTTTTAGAAAGACCTGGTAATATTCTGTGTCTCAGAGAGGTTTAACAGAGAGACAGCAGAATCTCATGAAGATTTTGTGGATTAAATGTATTTCTGATAATAACCAGGAGAGTTTTACCCATAGAAACATGGGCCAAGATTTTCAATACAGGGCGTCTACTAAAGTTAGATTCCGGAGGCACCCAAACTAGTGGGCTGATTTTCAACTCAACGGTGCTCAGCACTTTTGAAAATCAGGCCAGTTGTTCTAAACATGGAATTCGGAGCCTAGCTTTAGTGGTTTTCTTCTGAAAATCTTGGCATGATGTTCTACAGCTCTGTATAACTATGTAGAAGATCTGGCTCTTGTTAGTCCATGCTGCATTCTTGCTCCTCGCAACTTACCAGGTAACATTTTTATTTTATTTTGTAATCTAGGCATTTACACAGCTTTATCCTTTCCTTTCTGGAGATGATTATTTTGGAGGAGAAACAATGGGTGTAAAATTGCAGACAGCTCATAGCTGTGAGAGGCTAATCCATCAAATGGTTAAAGAGAAACATATTCTAGAGGTGCCATTGTAAACAGGGATCACTAAATCTGCTTTTAAGCTGGGTTACACATTAAAAGAAACAGCCCCTTTAAACCATGGCTTCTTCACTGGCAGCAGCAGCGTTGTGGAGTAGAAATAACAGAGTGATGGGCGGGGAGGATGTCACACATTCGGACCCCAAGGAGAATAGTGTGTTCATTCTGAATGCAAGTGCTATGTTCCCATCTAGAGCAAGTAATGACATCACCAGGTCAGAGGTGACACCAGTCCCATTCTACAGTTATCCCTGAACTAAAGCACAGTCCAATTACGTAGCCAACATCTAACACTTCCTAAGTGTCTGACTTAGAGAATTGTAGACAAAGGGGAAAAAGGCCTGTGCCTTTGGAGAGGTTAAGAGGGGTGATCCCTTTTTCAGTCTGTGGATCTAAAGCCAGAGAGAAATTCTCCTTTCCCAAGAGCTGAGGCAGAGCCAGAACTGAAGGACTTTTCTTAAACTCATGAAAAATGAATGCCCTTTCTTTCATTTCATTCTCTATGAACAATAGGGGGAGAAAGAGCCAACGATGGCTAAATGGGTCACTTCACGCGACCCTGGGACTTCCTATCCAAAATATGAAACCAATTTAAATACATGTACTAAAGGATTCTCAAAACTCTTGCAAGTTGCATTAACTCCAAAATGAGAAAATAATCATATTCTTATTGCAGCAAATAAATCTTCCTGGGCAGCTATTTTGCATAAGCAACATTTTTTTACAATACAAAGTTAAAAGGGATAGTGATGCAGTATTTAGGCCTTCGTTATTGGTGGCATGTACTGATCTCTCTGTTTTGACATCAACAGGAGCTGCACACACAGCTGGATTGCAGGAAGCAGGATTGCTTTAGAGGAGGGGGAAGTGTTAATTAAAGTTGGCTGAGTTAAAACATGGATAAAACATGATTTCTTAAAATGGGGCGGAGAGGGGAGGGGAGAAGTGCTTTAAGGAGCATGTTGATGTCTCCCAATTAAATGAAATGTTCAGTGATGGGGAGATTTGTTCTATGATCACATTATTGGCCAATCTTCTTGTTTTTTTCCTTTTATCTTTTGAAGGCTACTTTAACAGATAATTACTCACCAGAGCAGCTCTGAACACAGATTTGATAAGTGGCACTTTGCGGGTGCAATACATATTTTTATTCTCAGCTACAGACCTGAGCTTGGGCTCCTTCATCACAAAAACCCCTCTTCTGTTCCCAAATTTTCTAGAATCAAGTTGCGTACAAAAAATCTGGGCAGTGGATTAGCCAGAAGCTGTAGCAACCCCTGTCCCTATAGCTTCAGCTCTTCTCTTCTCTCCTGTATGTCTCCTAAAAATGCCACAAAATGGAGCAAGAAAAATGCCTGATGTGTTTTGGAATGTTTTCAAAACAGTTAAGTAAGGGTTAAAATTTTGTTGCACAGATTAGGTCTCACTTCCTCATTGAAAGGCCTCCTTATCAAAGGCTTTCAAGAGAGGCTCCTTGACAGAGCTATTTAAATAGCCAGCAAAGGAGTGCTATCATTGTAACAACCCAGATTCTTTTTCGGATGAGACTCCAGAACACTAAAGCTGCTTACGCATTCATACTGGTGTAAGACAAAGCATAAGATAAACAGAGAGAGTCTTTCAGCCTTCTAATTGGTTGCACTAGGCAGTAATCCCCACTGGGATTTAGTTTTTAAAAAGTTATCTGCACAGAGATTGTTTGGGGGGAGGGCGGGGCAGGAATCTTCCGGATGAGTTGGTCAAAAAGCATGATCACTTCAATAAAAACTGCCCAAGACATTCACCCTGTGATATGAAAAATCTACTGTTGTAATTAGGGAATGAAATACCTCTTTGTAGTTGCATCTGAATGATCATTATTAGATTTATTATTATTTACCCAGTTGTGCTATTTGATGTTAGAATTGGCAATTTCCTGGGAAACGCTAATTTAGGACAGGACACTGGTAAATATCAGCTTAAACCTGGTTAAACCAGGAAACTGGGAAATATAATTACATCCGTGTCCAGCAAGCACAGAATTAATCTGTTCAAACTTTGGATACAGCCATTCAAAACTGAGGAATAGGCTCAGTCTAGCCACTGTATCAAAGTTGGTCTGCTACAGAATGCTGCAAGGCCAACCTGGACTGGTATCTGCAACTCTGTTTGCTTCTGATTGCTTAATGCTGCAAGCCAACCACAATGCATTATTGGTGTTTTCATATAATCGACTGGTTTTGACTTTTGTATATATAATATTGAAAACGGAAATATGAGTCATGACACGTATAATGTGGTGTGTATTGATGAAACTGTTCTTAAAATAGAAAAATGTCTTAAACTGGGTCTGCCTAGTGTTTCCTGGGCAGTAAAAACCAAGATTTTACCAGCTAAAAACCACCCCTGGTAAACACCCTGCCATCCCTGCTCACTGCACAAATACAGAAGACGACAAAGTCACTGCCTTGAGGATGTGTTGTGGTTAAAAGGGCGTGTGGGTATTTTAAACAAAAAATGTAGAAGCAGTTGGTGTCCATGAAAGATGCTGGATTGATTGCCATACTGAGTGAAGTCCACCCACCTACAGCCATTCTCCTATGCCCTCCTTCAATACACCTCCCCTCAGCAGAAACGACCAGTATTACCGGCGTCCGAGCATGCTAGTTCAGCTACCATGCTCCTCATATTGCTGAGTGTATTGATAAATAAGTCTAAAGTGTCCACCAGGTAGCACTCTGACATTAAATCAATGACAAAGTATCATTTGGGAATATCAATTCTTGACTGCATATTATTGGTATTTCGCAAGAAATAAAGGAAACTCAATGGCACATTTATTGCTGTTTCCCCATCCATGGGATAGGACACAGACTTATATGCACAAATGATTCTGAAAATCAGAATGTGATGCAGTGATTTCTAATACGCCTTTTTCGAGGCCAGCTCAAACACTATATTAATACTCACCTTACCTGCTAACTAGTACCAAGGGCAACAAGGCATTGCATAGTGTAAATAGCTTTATGGAGAGGAAGGAACTAAAATCAGAAAACAATGCAGCTGTTGTGATTCCACCAGCCCCGTTTTTAGAGTAACAACAAAAGTACCAGGAGGTCATATACTGTGTTACACGCTTCGGTAGAAGATAGACCCAACCAACCACCACCCTCACCCCACAATCCAAACACACACAAACTCTGGAGAAAGTCAGAGTTGGATCCCAACACCCCCAGATTATGGGCAAATCTAGATCTAAAGGCCACCAAACCAGAGCAGTACATTGCACAACTATTGTGCACTTGCTTTGCACCAGGGTACATAGCTACACAAGGTACAGGGCAGTGGAGAATCAAGCCCTTTAAAACATCTGTAAAATGGGGATAATAATACTTGCTTTCTATTTACATTATACAGGGCCGGCTCCAGCGTTTTTGCCGCCCCAAAGCAGCGAAGGAAAACAAACAAACAAGAAAAACCTGATTGAGCTGCCACCATAGTGCCGCCGAAGAGGAAGAGACGGAGTGAAGGACCCGCCACCGAATTGCCACCGAAGACTAAAGCGGAGCGCTTGAGCTTCCACCGAAGTGCCGCCGAAGAGGAAGAGACGGAGTGAAGGACCCGCCGCCGAATTGCCACCAAAGACTAAAGCGGAGCGCTTGAGCTTCCACCGAAGTGCCGCCCCAATAACGGACGGAGTGCCGCCCCTTTCTAGTGGCCGCCCCAGGCACCTGCTTCCTTCGCTGGGTTGGGGCCTTTTGGCGCTACTGCAATCAATAACAGTAATCTTTGGCTGTTCTAAAGGCATGTCAGAGACACTAGATACACTATGGGAAACAAACATCATGGGGAAGAATGAAACAAAAATGGTGTGAAAATAATAACCGAATAAAAACACTGCGCCAAACTCTGTTTCCCATGTGTGACCCGTTGCGGTGTTACTGAGGGCAGAATTGACCCACTGCACTCACAAGCACTATAGATTGGCACCAGCGAGGGTTTCCAATCATTCTACCCCTCAAAGAGAGATGATAAGGGACAGAAAATGTAAACACCGGGGAAGCCATTCCCTTTGCAACTGGAACTCCAGTACTGGCTGCCTGGGTGAGCCATAGGAATCCCCGAGTTTGAGCAAGGGTTGGCGAAAGTGCAGCACAATCAGAGGGAGGAACATTTGAAAGTCTATAATAAAACACATGGAGACTGCAGGCCACGGGCGTCCCCATTGTAAGCATATGTTTCCCTTTAAAGAACGTTCCAGGACCAGGCTTTATGGTGAGAGATGGGGCCAAAACTAAACGGTGACGGTTGGATTTGAATTCCGTGATCTGCTTCTGCCCCCGTGTTTTTCAGAGGAGGGATGTTCAGAAAGCACAAGGTGTCTATTTCCAGTTTCAAACGCTCCTGCTAACAGCTGGCTTCACAAGATGTGTTATTTAGAAAGCCCTTGAAATGTGCCAGGCACTTTACAGACAGAAAGGCAGAGAAGATTCCCGTCCCAATTTCTGCCATTTGGGGCTGAAATCCTTGCTCTGATTGGAGCCAGAATACCAGCTCTGATTCAGTCTTAAACCCCAAATGAGCTCCGAGCAGCCTTCCCTAGCTTCTTTATAATTCTGAAAGCCATTCTCAGTGCTCAGCACGCTCTAAAGAAAATCTTTCGTTGCCATTTCATTTGAGCGCAGGATCTCAGGACTAGGAATGGCTGACCATCCCCATCAGCTCTAGGGCAGCTGATACATAGGTGTTCAACACACCTGAATTAAATTAACTCCAGCAAGTGACATTTACTAGCTAAGAAAAGGCAAGTGGCGGTGGTGGGGAGAATCAGGGAAAGGAACACAGAAGTTGATGACCACTTATAGGGAATGAAGTGTTTGGTTTTAATGACACAACAAATGACAAAGTATTTTAATGGTACTCTGTATGTACACACTGCTCGTTATCCTGTTTATACTGCCGAACAGGGTAATAATGCTGACAGATCCCAGCTGCCTAGCTTAACCCTTAGGCCAGAGCAGATCTTTCCCTCCTGATGCTATTTGTTAATACATTTTTCACTAGATCCTAATTAGCCTTCTGGCTCCAAAGGAGAAATGGTTTCACTAATAGGTCCCCTGAGCAGAAAATCCACCACAGAGTTACATGTAATATGTAGCTGTACTTTGAACCAGACATTTAAAAAGTGTGTTCTTAGGCACAGTGTGCTGGCTAAAATGGGGAGAATCAGCGTCTTGACAAGGTAAGACTGACTTTTCATTATTAATCATGGGAGCTGATGGAATTGTTGTTCTGTTAGAAAGGAACTCTGCCTAGTGATTTGGTTTCTTTTCATATGGTCTGAAAGAGTTTTGATAATCTTTGCTGTGTAGCCCGTGTAATGCACCAGCTTCTTTTTAGGGCTACACCTTAAGTTTAAGAGCTTTTGGGATCTGCGTAGAAATAATATAACTCACATGAAGTGAAAATGTAGCTAAAAACACATTAAGGCCACTTACAGGGGACACCGACCCACACAAACCCTTAAAGCAAGGAGGTGCCTAGGTGAGGGATCCTTCTTTAACATGCCTTAAAACCCCACACAGCACATGTACTCACTCCATTCCACTATAAATAAATCTCTATGTACAGTGACACTCCCCAGTCCTCAGGAATGAACTATAATGCAACCCTTAACTCAGCCCACAGCACATCAACGTATTTGTCAGTCTGGCATCCAGGAACCAGGAAACTAAATGGTATGCTCTTTTTCAATGGAGATATATGAGGGCCGAGTTATGGGCTATAGACAGCCAAACACAATTTAGAGCAGCCCTGAGGCTGCCCAAAATGACCCAAAATGTGCCCAAAATGGCCCCTGGTCAGCTCCAGGATGGGGGTGGGAATAACACAAACATGGTTTAAAGCCACCTCTGCACTCACTTCCCCATTGGGTTCTGTGTGAATCGGGCCCCTCCTTTTTTTAATTGGGTTAATGCTGCACAGTTCTTGGCTGGGGCACATTTCCATACAGTTCAGGATCGAACACAGGCTCACACTGAAGTTTCACAGGGGTATTAAAAAAAAATTAGGACCCCTGCCGCTCAGGCCCATCACTGAATGACCTATAATAATTTCAGGTCATGTACTAAACTAAAGCATTCTTGGCAGAGAAGAGAATGCAGACGGTACAGTGAATCCTAGCGAAGCGGGATTGTCCTCTCCATATTTCTGGTCTGCAGATTTAATCAGCAAAGAACTATTTTCTTCTTCTCGCTTTTAAAAGAAACCTCAAGACCTTGTTTCTGCAGCAGCACGTTAACTACTCAGATAGGTTCTTAATTTATGGTGGATTGCGTCATTTTCCTTTGTGTGACATGAGCACATGTACGTATGTGCCAAGCGTCACAGCTCAGCGTAGTTATTTAAACATGGTGAATTAATTGACGTCAGTGGATTTACATCACTGTATCTGAGCAGACTACTGACCTCCGCTGCAGCTGTAACTACCACAGACAGGACCTGCTCCAACTCTCAGTGAAGTCAATGGGAATCTTTCCATAGAAGTTAATGGGAGTTGGATCAGTACCTGACTGCAGAAAAAATCATTTTCGCTCTCAGCTTTCAGACTGAAAAGGAGGCAACGAACCCAATGGTGTCACCAGTTGGGATAGACTTGGCTGTGATACAATACCCCTGGGGTGCGGTTAGGAACATCATCACTGACTTCCCTATCCTGCCCCACCAGTATGCCTCATCTCTGACTTGCACGTTGCCCCTAGTCGCCATACAGAGTCAGTGCTTGGCGTCTCTGGTGGTCTCAACAGCAGCGATGCCATCGGTACCAGGTTTGACAGTGGTTTCAGCGATATGGACACCAGCCTGTTATGAACTGGACTGACACTCATAGGTGCCAACTTCGTGGGTGCTCTGGGGCTGAAGCACCCATGAAAAAAAATAGCGAGTGCTCAGCACCTGCCGGTGGCCCTGCCAATCAGCGCCCCCCGTCCCTCTGAGCGCCTCCCGCCCACCATGATCAGCTGTTCAGGGGCATCCAGGAGGTGCTGGTGGGAAGGGGCAGGAACCAGGACAGGAAGAGGTGAGGTGGAGGTGGGAAGAGGCGGGGCAGGAGTGGGGGCTTCGGGGAAGGGGTAGAATGGGGACAGGGCCTGGGGCAGAGCGAGGATCAAGCACCCCCCCCAGGGACTCGTGAAGTTGGCACCTCTGCTGACACTTCCACCTTCCCTCATCTAAGGCCTGGCCTAGGCTACAGCGTTAGGGTGATGTAAGCTGCCTTACATCAACTGAACTCTGTAAGCGTCTACACTAAGATGTAGCTCCCTGTGACACTGCCCCCCATATGCTTCATGGTTGTGTGATTAAGATATGATTATGGCATAATTATAATGCATTTTGTACACGATGAGTCATGTGAGGTATCATTGGAAAAGTTATGATTTGTAGAATACGATTATCCTATTTGTATGTATGACTCATTTTTGTATCAAAAGTTATGAAAATTGACTATGGGTCTGTATGTCAAATGGGTTACTCTGGAAAACACCCACAGCCAGCCTGACAGGTACAACAATGAAGAAGCCAGACGGTGCTAATGACTCATCAAAAAAGACAATGGGCTGTGGAATAGCTCAGCCTTCCTGTGGACATTTCGGCCAGCCTGTAAGTAATGGCTGCTCTGGCTCTGTGAGGGCATGTGACCAGACCACATGACTCTGGACGCCATTTTGAGTACCTGTATTTTTCCACAAATTGGGCTGGGAGCTGTTTTTGGAACAAAGGGTTCCCACCATATGCTAACGCTATATAAGGCAGGGAGTGACCTCATCTGTGGTTCTTCGCTCCCCCACAACTCAACACCTGAAAGAAGTTCCGAAAGAAAAGGATTTGGAACAGGGGTGAGGCTCCCAAGCTCCAATCTTTCTAGTATTTTAGGCTTAGTTGCAGTTTTGTTTATTTACTAGGTAATCTGCTTTGATCTGTTGGCTATCACTTAAAGTCTACCTTTTTGTAGTTAATAAATTTGTTTTTTGTTTTAATTTAAACCAGTGTGCCTTTGACTGAAGTGTCTGGGGAAAATCTCAGCTTTGTTTAACACGAGTGAATTGTGCATATTCCTCTCCACACTGAGGGAGAGGTGAACTTTCTTAATGAGCTTACACTGTACAGTGGCTGCAGCCCATAACGACCCTTTGTTCTCCACTTTTAACACTGAACCCTTCACTCAAATCCGTGACCATTCTGACAGCATCACTTGTGCCACTAGAGTTCAGGGTCTGTGACTCTTAATTGGAAACCACATTTTTCCATGGTTTAGAACCTGTGTGAATAGATTCAGTTTGGAGAGGCACTGTGCGGACAGCTATGGACATGGGTGAGGAGGTTTAAAAAAAAGCAAGCCCCCAAAAGACCTAATTGAATGTAAATGCAAGTAATCTGGATCAGTTTAAGATGCTGACACATC